AATGCTAGGGAAGAAAGGGAGAAATGACCATTTATCTATTGACTGCCTATAGAGTGCCAGGAACATTAAACATTTTGTCTCAGTGACTTCTCACAAAAAAAATTTTTTAAATATATCTTCACTACCTATGACATAGGCAAGATAGTATAGTGTCATATGGGACAGAAAAACCTCCTCCAGGATCTAGGCTCTGCCAGCTGTGTGATCCTGAACAAGTTACAGTGCCGTGCCTCAGTTTCCCCACAGAAAAGTGAGAATAAGAGCATCTACCTAATGGCAGTTTCATGAGGATTAAATGCTTGAAACAAAGCCTTGCTCCATGCATGTGCTCTTATCACAGTGTGCAGTGAATCCACCTTATGGGCAGTATATTGTGTCCGCGTTACAAATAAGGACGGGGAGACTTAGTGGACTTCTGTAACTTGCTGGGGACACACAGCTTGTGCAGGGGGCAGAGGGAGCTTTGGAAGAGAGGTGTATGCAGCTCCCAAGAGCTTTCCATCGCCCACCAAAGCCAGAACATATTTTTACTACTGGGTTTCTGTCCCTCAAAGAGACCGCAAACAGACACACAAGAAGGACTGAAGAGGTGTTTCATCAAAAATATTACTGAAATTATTTGTCCTTCCAATTAAAACCATGTGAAAAGCAGGATGGTTCAGAAAGGTGGCTGGGGTGACAGGGAAGTGTGGGTCGTCTTTGGGCTTGAGCAGGAAGCTGAAGGTAAGGAGAACAAAGGATTAGTCCCAGGAACTGGTGATGAAGCAGGGTGGAAGGCAAAGAGGATGTGGTGAGAAGCTGGGAGGTAGTTATCCAGGACTAAGACGAGAAGGGAAATGACAAGGGCTGGGATTTCTGGGTGGTGGAGTCCGGGTGAGAGCAGGTGGAAGGAATGGGTCCGGAACTGCAAGGGTAGGCAATAGTTATGCCAGAGGTGGGACAAGCACAGAGCCTTAGGAGTCTCTACTTCCTTTCACACTGTCCTTTCAGCTGCAAGGGCCCCACTTCTGGGAAGCAGCACTAAGAGTGGACCAAGTGCACAGAGCATTACAGAGGCAGACCAGGGAGCCGCCCCTGCTCTGCTTGCTTGCTTGCTGGAGAAAGCCGGGGAGGCAGAGAACAAATCCAGTGCCCACCTAAATGAGATTTTTAGTCTGCATTTATATACATGGTTGGGGAGGGGAGGGGCAGAATTTTCTGGAAAATAACTTTCACTCCCCACTCATTTTTGCTGGATTGTTTTTGCGCTACTAGTTGATGGAGAGCCTTTCATTCAAAGTCTGAGGTCCTTTTCCCTAAACAAGAGAGATTTTCCTCATTGCTTCTCAGACCTGGGTACCAGGCTCTGAGGAAACCCCAGGGTAGTAGGAGGGAAGGATGGTTCACCCTAAGGAATAAAACTGGCCTGCCTAAGTGCTGGCTGAAGGAAAGGCTAGTGAGCCAAAATTCAAAGTAAATGATGGCGGTATTCGCACTCCATACATCATATCGTCCGCCTCGGCGCTTCAGCTCAGAATGTAATTTAATTTGTATTTTAAGAGCAAATTAGTTATAAAAACAAATGTGTTCTTACTAATTAAATTCCTTAAAAACATATCATTTGAGTTTAATGTGGTTCATCTATTTTTTTCCCCCCTTTACGATGGGACACAATGGCTTAAAAACTCTTAATACCAAGCCCAGTTCAGCCCTTGGAATGCTTGTGGAAAAGCAAGAACAAGGTGAGCGGTGTTTTCCACGGCACACGCTGCGTCCCGGGAAGGGAAGAAGGGAGAGAGGGGCAGATGAGGACCTGCAGTATCAGCGAGGGCTATCAGGACGTCCTGCTAATAAACGACTTTTTCACTGTCCACACTATAATTGGTTTACAGCCTTTCTTGTTTATTTATCCATAAGAGCTGCTGTTAAATGGCTCGGGAAGGCGCTCGCCTAATGGTTCCCTAACGCTCTGGGCCTGTGGGAGGCGAGAGGGGCGCCGGCGTCAGCGGGGAAGCGGAGCGGAAACGCATTTCGCCTGTAATGGACTCGGCGGTTTTATGGTGCCAGGAGCTACATCCACAGAAGAAATAGGACACACGAGTTTTCTCAGTGGAGGGTTCTACCGGGTGAGGTCACATATATTATATATTATGTATTATGTATCATATATTACATTATATCATATCTCATATTATATTATATATCATTAGCCGATCCAAACACCCTGTGAGCTTTTCCCACTAAATAATACTAAATTGCTGTTTGACCTTAGCTTCCCGGGTCACTTCTTTAGGCAGCGAGCAGCGGCTAACGCTGCTTGGGAAAGTGAGAGCGCGCCCTCGGCGCCCCGTCCCCTCCCCCACGCGCCTCTGCAGCCCGGTTCCCGGGGCTTTGCTCTCTGGTGTGGTGAGCGGGTTTGCTTTCTGCTGAGCGTCTGTTTTCTTTCTGCAGGGCCGAGCAAAAATATTAAATGGGAGCAAATGAAGCATCGAAATGGAGACCAATTTACAGAAATGTGCAATTAGCGAGAAGTGCAAAGTAAACACTCTAGGTGGAGGACGGCAGGTGAGGCCCACAGCGGGGGCAGGGGGTGGGGTGGGGTGGGGTGGGAGCGAGGCTGGCTACCAAATCTGGAGGAGGGTGTTGGCGCCGGGAGGAGACGGGAGGAGGAGGAGAAGGAAGAAGAGGAGCGGAAAGGTGGCCGATCTTTGTCCCGAGCAGAATTCGCCACAGGCTCATAACCCGGTCGCCTAGTCAACCCGCCGAGACTTGGCAGATTATCTCCGAGGGTCAACACGCCGCGGCCAGGCAACCCCTCCAGTCCTGCGCTCCTGATCGATGTGGTCACTCGCGGCCTGAGTGATAGCGTCGGGTTCCCGCGACCGACTGCGGCGAACAATAGACTCATTGACTCGGGAGCGCAGAGATTAGGTGCGCTGGTCCCACGGCCTTTCGGTCCCTGGCCGCCCCCCACAGCAGGACCGCAGGTGGCCCTTTTCCCTGAAGAAATCGCTGAGACCCCCCACCCGCCGGGCTTCCTGGTGGTCGCGCGGATCTGTCCGTGCCCAGCACACCCTACACGCCCATGCCGAGACGGCACGAGCCTCAACAGAATTCTGCAGAGAAGTCAAGCCCCTCCGTGGCTTCCTGCTTAGGTCACTCAGTCTGTGCGCACGGAAACGCAAATATTTCCACCAGGAGAAAAAAATCTTAAAATCTACCTGTTCAAGGACTGAATGCAGCTTGTTCTTTAGGAAAGTCAAATCGCAGTGATTTTTCTCTTGTTGGTTCCTTGAGTTCATGCCCCCTCTTGTCTAAGCTTTTCTGCAAAAGTATCTAGTTTTTCTAAAACCCCACCTTGCAATTTAAGGAATGTGTTAATTTCGACAGGAGCTGGTCTGAGGCCGCTCAGGACGCCCAGGGCAGAATGGTCGGCGGGCGGCGTCGGTCTAGCCCAGGCCTAGGGTGGTAACCACTGCCACCCGGAGGTAGCCTGTCCGCAGCCTGGAAAAAGTAGGTCTATTTTAAGTCAGGACCCCACAGTGCCAAGATGTCACCCAACCGGTGGAAGCCGTAGGCTGACGTTGTCATAAGAACGCAGTACTTTTATTTCTTTTGTAAACACCGCCTACCTCTCCCTGACCCGCATCCTGCCTTCTTTCAATCGAACGAGTCTCAGCTGGCTGACCGCGCTGGGGGCGGACCGGCGGACAGCCGACTTCTTTCCCCCCTTGCCACCTGAGGAAACCATTAGAGTCCCAATTTATCGAAATCAAAATTGGTAATGCCTAATGACTTTGTCACAATAAAAAGACACCGTGAATGCTTCGTAAGTGACAGGTTAGTCTCCAGAAGTTCCACAGCACAGCCACAGACAAAAACATTCGGCAAAAGTTGCATCTTTGTGTGTTAGCTCATCGGCGTCCTCGGGGCCAGTGTGCTAACCGCACACACGAGACAGAACCAGCTGTTTCCGACTTGCAGAGCTAGGTCTGCAAGCTTTGGGGGCTGTGTTCCCTGACAGTTAAAAAAAAGTTTAAATGTGTATATGTACCACAATTTTTTGATCCATTCATTTACTGATGGGCACCTAGGTTGCTTCCAACTCTTGGCTATTGTAAATTGTGCTGCTATGAACATTGTGGTGCATAGGTTCTTTGAAATTGATGTTTTAGGATTCTTGGGGTATAATCCTAGCAGGTACATATACACAATGGAATTCTATGCAGCAGAGAGAAAGAAGGAGCTACTACCTTTTGTAACAACATGGATGGAACTGGAAAGCATTATGCTGAGTGAAATAGGCCAGGCATTGAAGGACAAATACCATATGATCTCACCTTTGACAGGAAGCTAAAGAATAAAACAAACAAGCAAACAGAATAAAAACAAAGACGCTGAAATAGAGAACAAGTGGGCAGCGACCAGAGGGGAGAGGGAAGGGAACTTAAGGGGAAAAAGGGGGAGGGATTTTGAGGAACAAGTATGAAAGACACAGAGATGAGGACTGGGGGGGGGGAATGGGAGGGAGGGGGGAGACCGGGCGGGGGGGGGTGGGATGGGAGAAATAGATTTTAAAAAATGTACTTGAAAAGTAACTAAATAAAATTTAATATTAAAAAAAAGTTTAAATGTGCAACCTCAATATATACATGTACAAATTATTTGTCAGACATATAATAGATCGTTTAAAATCTAATGAAACTTTCTATAAATGAATAGAAATTCTAAGATTTTCATGCGCGCCCAGCTTTGGGGAGCCCTGCCAACGCGCACGGTGAGCTCAGCTGAGAGAGAAAATCGAAACGAATGCAAATGCGGGCGCTCGCGGCACCCGGGCCTGGCGTCTTAAGGCCCTTGGTCCGGCCAATGACGGCCCGGGGCTGAGCCACGTGGGCCGCCGCGGAGCCTATGGCAGGGCGGCCGGCCCGCGAGTCCCGCCGCCGCGGGCTCAGTCTGAGAGCGGAGCGAAGCTGTCAAAGCGAACGGGCGTGGCGCCCGCAGAGGGAGAGCAGCAGGGCCTCGAGTTACCGGCTCCGGCTTCCAGCTCCGGGTCCCCGAGCCCCGGTGGCAGCATGAACGGCGAGGAGCAGTACTACGCGGCCACGCAGCTTTACAAGAGCCCGTGTGCGTTCCAGCGGGGCCCCGCGCCGGAGTTCAGCGCCAGCCCCCCCGCTTGCCTGTACATGGGCCGCCAGCCCCCGCTGCCGCCGCCTCCGTTCCCCAGCACCCTGGGCGCGCTGGAGCAAGGCAGTCCGCCGGACATCTCCCCGTACGAAGTGCCCCCGCTTGCCGAGGACCCCACGGCCGCACACCTCCACCACCACCTCCCTGCTCAACTCGCGCTGCCCCACCCGCCCGCTGGGCCTTTCCCGGACGCAGCCGATCCAGGCGCCCTGGAGGAGCCCAGCCGCGTCCAGCTGCCTTTCCCGTGGATGAAGTCTACCAAGGCTCACGCGTGGAAAGGCCAGTGGGCAGGTAAGCCTGGATCCCGGCCCCTCTCTCCTGTCCTCTCTCCGCGGGCTGCCCCTACCTCGGATCACTCCGAAGGGCCTCTCCCAGTTCGCGTTCCTGGTCCCTACGGGTAACCCGGGGGCCGAACTAACGTACACGGGGACCCAGCGAGGTCATCCCGCACTGACGCATTTGGGGCGTCTTTGCTTCGTGGCTCCCCTCCTGGGGGCTTAAACCCCTCTCTCCCCTGTACGCTGACCTCCGGGAGCCGCTCGCTGCCGGTGCGCCTCCCAGAGAACTAAGGTCTGGCCGAGCTCAGGGCTTCGGAGCCTCAGATCCTCCTCCAGCCGGGGCTCCTCCCGCCCGGACCCTCCTCCCGGGGGTTCCGGTGGAAGAAGTGGAGCAGGGTTCGGGGTACCTGCGAGCCCGCCTTCGAAGCCCAGGGGCCCTGGAGCCCTGTGTCCCGCGGCTTCACCACAGCATGGTGGCACTCGTGGGCACCCAGGACGAGCGGGAAAGCAGGGACGCCCGGCGGCCGGGGAGGGGGGGCACCAGACAGGAGCTGAGGCCAGGTGGGGGTCTCACCGCAAGGCAGCGACCGGCCGCTCACCTAGGAGCCCGGCAGCTGGGCCAGGCGTCTGCGATGCTAACTTCACTTTAGACCAAACAGAAGTATGTGCAGGGGTCTCCCCGCGCTGCTGTCAGGACGTCAGTGTGAGGAAGGAGATGCTCTTTCTGCAGAGCCTGCCCAGGGAAGCGGGAGCCCGGGGTCTGCCTGGCCTTGGCCGAGGCGGGTAACGGAAGGTGTCCCGCAGCTGGAGGCAGAGAGCAGAGATCCTGCTCTCGCCCCCAGCCGTCCTTTCCCTGCCCTGAGCTTCCCACACGGCCTAGGACGCCCTGCCACACAATGTTATCGCTTCCGTGCCGAAGCCGCTTCTGGTCACACCTGCACTGCAAATAGTGCGCTTTTCTTCCCTTCCAACTCACAATCGGGAGTGCGGGGGAGGCTCAAGCTGGCACCCCTGACGCTCCTCGCGGCCTGGGGGGTCCTGCCGGGCCCTGACCCTGACCCTGGCACAGCCAAGCAGGGCTGTGGGGGCTCCCGGCTCGCTCGGAGTCCCAGGGCTCGCCTCCCCTAGTCCCCTTTCTGTTGAAACTGAGTGTGAGGACCGAGCCGGTCCTGAGGCAGGACAGGGCCACAACAAGCTCAGCCACAGTCTTCCTTCCCCACATCCGGCGAAACCCCGGCTCGAGGCGTCTCCAGATGTGCCTCCCTCCGCCTCTGCTTACTTACCAGCCTGCCTGGCCCGGGCCTAAGAACTCGGAGTCTCGCGGGAGGCCGGAGGACAGCGTCCTTCAGTCGGGGTGGAGGGCCTCCAGCCCGTAGTTTCCTGCGAGGAGCTGCTGCGGTCCCTCTCTAGAGCTCCCTTCTGCAGGGCGCTGGGGACACGCGTTTCCGGCCTCCCGGGGCCTGCTGGCGGCTTCTTCAGGAAAAGAGCTGGGAGGCCCTGAGGTGGCCTAATTTCCTACCCTTCTCCCGCAAGGGTGTTATGCCAGCTCTGGTGGAGCTTGGGCTCCAGCAGATCCAAAATGCCAGAAAGTAAAACCCGAAGGAAAATCGGCAACCTTGCCAGGGGCATGGAGGGACCCTGGAAGGGTGACATCCCCAGTCTGGAGCGTCTGGGCTGGAGGGGCCTCTGCCAGCACCCTCTGGCTCATTGCAGGCTCAGCCAGCCAGTGAGGGGCCCAAACCGTCTCTTCCCTGAAGCTGTTTGGGGTGGGGAGGGTCCTCCCCCAGAAAGCGTTCCAAGGAGCAGAACTTCAAGGGCCTGTGAATCCTCATAGTGGGTTTTCAGGTCCCTGAGGACAAAGAAGTGACCAAAAAGGGCTTTTATTCGTAGTACAGATATGAATACTAACAACAGGGACTTCTGAAAGACAGCCTAGGAAGAGAACTGTCTCAGACTCACCACCAGTGTCTCCTGGCCCAGCAGCACCTTGCCACCTTCCTCATAACGCCAGCAACAGCCTCCCCCTCCTCCCCTCCTCCCCCTCGCCCTCCTGCCAACTCTCCAGAGCTTAGGTTTGTTAGGGTGGTGGCGCAAACACAGCAGCCTGTCACAGCACCTCTGGGAGGCCCACAGAAGAGGACCAGAGCCCGAGAGAGGTTGGATTTAAAAACCTTGGGGGTGGGGGTGGGGAGCGGGATCCTTTTTAAGTGTTCCTGCATGCTTCTTCCCCAGGCTAGGGAAGGCTTGATCCAGAGATATGTACGATCCAGAGATGCCCTGCAGCAAGCAGACCTCCTTCCTGACTCAGGCTTGGGCCTCTGCGTCTTCTCAGAGCCAACTTTTAGCCTGGGGGTGGGGGGAAACCGGGCAGGTTCTACTGTGTAATTAACCCTCCTCCTCTAACTTGAACACCAGATTTTCAACCCCCTGAGGCCTAGCCAGCAGACACAGGAGAAATGTTTCATGCCTCTGCCCTAACATGAACTGATGTAGGCCTTGTCTACAAGGCCTAGAAAAAGGAGTCCGCCTCCTTATCCCAACAGAGTTTTAGTAAAACTTATCCCAACAGAATCCACCACCCATGCCGTCAGTATCTTGAATAGAAGAAAAGCTTGGGGCCTCAAGGAGCCAGGCGGCAAACACAGGTTGTGTGGCACTAACCTACAGGATCAGACCGGCTCTTGCTTCCCCACGTCTGAGCTCAGAGCTGGGAGCTCTTGACCGTACCACGACCCCCCCCCCCCGCCACACACACACACACACACACACACACACACACACACACACACACACCAGCCTCCTCCAATCCCCAGAGGAACCCGGGCCTCTTAGCCTCCCCTCAGCCAGGATTTGAGGCCTAGGACAGAGAGGCTGAGGCTGATAGTGACCTTCTTAGAGGCCCAGTAAATAGTTCCCCTTCTTTTTCAGGGCAGTGGCCCAGCCGAGGTTAAAATGAGAACAATTATAGAAAATATACTGGCTCTTGAGTTGGGGCCAATTACAGTAAAACTAAAGAGAGAGGATATATGGTCAGACATAACCATATGTATTATACATACATATATAGCTATATTAGCTCAAGGTTTTTCAGCGTTTTTATTAGCTCAAGGTTTTTTTTTTTTTAACTAAGTTTGCACCTATTACTTGGTAGTGAAATCAATTTACTGGATTGAGACCTTTTTTAAAAAATGAAATAGTAAACAACAGAAAAAATTATCATCACGTATGGTAATGGTTGATTTTGTGTCCTGAAATTTTTGTGTTGGTTATACGTCTGTGTGAAGTGGGTAGTGATCTGTAAGGTACTTCTTACTGTGGGTCATCTGTAGAAAGTGGGGTTATTTTTTAGTTATATATTTAAAACATTTTATTGTCTTTGTAGAATCAAGTAGGTTTAGATATCTACACTGTGCATTTTAATCAGCATCAACATGAACACCAGTTACGGGAACCCATTTAAGAACCACTTGTTCATAGAGCCCACCGCAGGGTCCACAAAAGTCCGGACCTCCCAGAAAAGGCGACCAACCGGTGTGTGGGCCCACGCTGGGGTGGGCACTGGGGTTCGGTGGCGGAGTGGCAGAAGGGGTGGTTTCCGAGGATTGGGGATGAACGGTTGGATTGCATGAGAGACGGCAGGGCAGGGCAACAGGAGCCAGGGGTCGGGACCACACTCAGGCGCTGTGTCTCCCGCAGGCAGCGCCTATTCGGCAGAACCCGAAGAGAACAAGCGCACGCGCACCGCCTACACCCGCGCGCAGCTCCTGGAACTGGAGAAGGAGTTCCTTTTCAACAAATACATCTCTCGGCCCCGCCGGGTGGAGCTGGCTGTCATGCTGAACTTGACGGAGAGGCACATCAAGATCTGGTTCCAAAATCGCCGCATGAAGTGGAAAAAAGAGGAGGACAAGAAGCGCGGCTGCGGAACAGCCGCCGGGGGTGGCGGGGACGGGGAGCCGGAGCAGGACTGCGCGGTGACCTCGGGCGAGGAGCTGCTAGCGCTGCCGCCACCGCCGCCCCCCGGGGGAGCTGCGCCACCCGCTGTCCCCGTTACAGCTCGAGAAGGCCGACTGCCGCCAGGCCTTAGTGCGTCACCACAGCCCTCCAGTGTCGCGCCCCTGCGGCCCCAGGAACCCCGGTGAGAGGTGGGGGCTCCTCCCTGCCAGAGGCTCTGACCGCTCACAGAGGAGGGGGGAGCAGGCCGAGGACCCCAGGTGTGGACCAGCTGTTTGGTGGGGCAGGTGCTGCGGCTCCTGCCCCAGGTGGGAGGGGAGAGGCTGCGCTCTCAGGTGCCTGTGCCAGCTGGGGCCGGTGGGGAAACGCCGGTTGATCTTCCAGAAGAAGGGACCCTTTCTGTAGATCTGAGCCTTCTTCGGGTGATATTGTTGGGTCGGTCTCGTCACCCACTTGTCGTGCAGGTCCCAGCACTCCAGAACCAGGGACTCTTTAGAGAAACCAGCTCTTCAAAAGATGACAACAACTGTACTAACTGGAACATTCTTTCGAACATGGAAAGCCAGCTAAACCGGGTGCCCGTATGTGCCCAGAAACAGTCATTTCGATTCAGGCTGCTGCCTTAACATTTAGAAATAATTGTAAGGAAATGTCAGAGGTTTCAAAGACCCAACGAAATAGATGCCCTTGGACTTGGATAATTTCTTTCTCCGTCCTTCTTTTCCTTTCTTTTAAAATCCATTTAGCACAGCAGCGAACTTCCCCAGAACACATCCTGACTTCACCCTGCACGTCTTCGCTCCGAAGGAGAGATATTATTGCCAGGGAAGCTGGGCAGCAGCAGGGCCGGAGTGTGGAGGCAGGGCGAGAGTCCCTGTACACCCCTCGGTCGAACATTTCCAGAGACAGCGGGAGAGATGGGTCCCGGCCAAGGGGCTTGGGGAAGAAAGACGGACCCTCGAGTGAACTTTGTAACCAGGACGTGGGGTTAGTTTCTGGTCTCAGGGCGGAGAGGCCGCGTAGAAGGTGAGCAGGCTGCCGGACCCGCTTCGGAATCGAGTCGCAGAGCCAGTATGATACCCATCTCTTTAGAAATGATAAAAACGCATGTGTTTGAAGAGGTGGGAAACTGGTTACTTTTATTTAAAGTTGTGAAATTACCTAACAGTTCTTTACAAACAGGTCTGTGGTTTCCAGGTCAATTTTGGTTTGAATGCAGTTGTGATGTTTGTGGGAAATGTTTAATAAATACAGATAACATGGGAAGAGATGAAAACTGACTCCTTTGTTTTGTACCCAGCCAGTTCATTTTACAAATCAAAGTATCGTTTCTCTTTTCCATACTAACTAGGGAGGAGCCCGTACTTAAGAAACATACATTTGGGTTTAGGATTGGCATAATGTATTAGCATGTGAATTCTCAGGTTTGTTTTGTTTCATTTTTACCTTGAGCCGCTTCTCAAGGCGGATTTTGTCAGAAGAGAGCCCTGAGGCATGGGGGTGGGGCGGCCACGGAGCAGGTCTGAACTAGGCACAGAGGCTCCGGGAACCACGAAGTTGGCCAGTGGAGGGTCTCCTTTTTCTTCCCCAAGAAAAGGTGGTCTGGGAGAGGTTTTTTCTTTGGCTCACCCAAAGAAGTGTTGCTTTGGCTGAGTCCATGCCCCTGGGTCCCTAGGTCCAGAGTGTCTTGTGCTAGGGACGAACAGGCCGTGACTCAGTGGGCTTCCAGTCCCTGGAGCTCCCTGATCCTCTTGGCATCTGTCAGCCTGTGAGCCCAGCTGAGCCCTGGAATCTCCACTGCGCTGCCCCCTGGGGGACTGTCGGCTGGCTCCCAGGAGTGACGGCTAGTATTCCTTCCGGGGTGCAAAGAGAAGCAAGACTTGTTTTTGTTTAGTTGTTGGCTTTTGCCTTTTGCTTTCTGTTGTTGTTTTTGAGAGAAATAGAATCATTCTCCCCTCGGAGGAAAAGAAATTAGGTGGATCAGAAAAAGGAACCTTCTCATCAGTGAAATGGGTCACAGGGAGCAGCCCTCACCCTGCATCCTCTTCACGCCCTACCCCCACCTGGGCTCTGGCGCACAGGGCGTGTCCTCACCACCGCAGGTCCCTCTAATACTGGCCCGTGACCCTGATAGAATCAGGATGCTGATTATTCAACACCCCTATACCTCCGTTTCCTGTCTGTAAAGTGGAGGTGAACTATAGGGCATAGAAATTTAAACAAAGTAACGTGCTTGACTCCGTACCTGGAAGGTAGTTATCTCTCCACAACATCACGACTGCTGACGGGCCCGCGTTATTTCCCGAATGCGGGGGAGCTGCCGCTGCAGAGACTGGGGAGGGCGTCTCCTGACACCTGCGCAGCCCTCTCCTTTGACAAATCCCCACGCTGTGGCTACCGAGATGACTCTAGTTCATGTAACCATTGGTCTTTACTGCGCACTTCCTCTAAAGAACCTCCTCGGATTTCCCACCGCGACCTTCCGCAGATAAAAGACGGTCTGCCTCTTACATGAGGGAAGGGCTGCTGAGCAGCGGGGAGCACCGCTGGGGCTCCGGCAGCGGGCAGAGGAGACGAGATTCGTTCTGGGGAGGGGTGGGGCCAAGAAAGTTTCAGGGGCTCCACACCAAGGCCTCTCCCCTCTCCGGGGCTCTGGTCCCAACATCCCCCAGATCACTGGCCAGGCGCGGGTGGCATGCCCGCTGCCTCTCCCTGCATCGTCCGGGGTTCCCTGCTCTACGGAGGACATGGTTCTGTCGCCGGGGCTGGGAGGGCGGGATGGGAAGGAGCGAGAGGCTGCTGACCAGGACCGGGCGCCCGGCCTCCAATGCGCAGGGCCGGGCTCCACTGCGGAGATTCTCTAAAGGCGGACTCGGCTGCTCCCTGGGCTGCTGGTGCTTTCTCAGAGAAGAACGCCAGGCCTGCCACCTTAGACTTGAACGTCAGGCCTCTTTACCTACGTGTGGCACTTAATTCTCTCGTTTTCTCTTCCACAAAATGGACGAGAAATGAGATGACGAGGATGAAGTGAGATGTTGTCTTTGAATAGTGTACTGCGTGGCCAGCGGTAGTGGGCAGGGTGGGGCTGGCCAGTGGAGGCCTGCCTTCCGGGGAGACCGTGGGAGGCAGTGGAGAGCGAGCCCTGCTGGCCAGAGGGACCTCGAAGAGAGGAAGAAAGAGGAAGGAGCTCTGGTTGGGAGCGCCACTCAAGAACCAGAGGACGTTGTCCCGACCCCTCAGGCCACAGCTCATAAGGCCACTCACCTGGGGCTCGACCTGTGAGTCCCCAGCTCTGCGCAGCCACCCTCGCCCAGCCGAAGGGGGGACGTGCTCTGTGGGCCTCCGGGGCTGAGCGCCTGCAGTTCTAAGCCCCAGTCCCTCGCAGAGCCCAGTCTCCTGGGGGAGGGAAGAGGCCGGAAAACCAACAAGCCAGGTCTTGGGAAGAGCCCCTCTCTGCCAATATCTCGATTTGCCTCAGGTCCCAGAACTGCAGAGGTGACATACCGCCTCCGCTCTTCAAGCTGACCACACTCCTCTCAAGTGGGGAACAGTCGCACCGCAGGCCCTCCAGGCTTCGGAGGAAAAGCAGGGTTCCCGCAAGGCCGCGCGCAGTTCCCCGCGCGAAGTACGCGCTGGGCCTGTGCAGACCGGGATCCGGGACCGTGGGCTTGCTGAACGAGAAAGGGAGTCCAGGGGCGCGCCCGCCTACACCTCCACTCCCGAAAATTCGCGGAGTGAAGCCACAAGCCCCACCGTTCCTTCCCAAATCTTTGGCAGGGGGTGTACGTTCATGGAGCACCACCGGGTGCTGCGAAAATTCGGGCGCTGACTGTGCATTTGCGGAAACTGCTGGTGCCGGGATTCGGAGTATCTTGCAAGGGTTCCTTCCCCACCACTGGCGCCGGGCCATGACGGCCACTGAGAGTGAGAGCTGGGGTCGCAGACCCAGGTGAGAGGGGCGCTGTGCGGGCGGGGCCCTGGGCTGTGGAACTCCCTGGAGGTAGCGTCGCATCGCACAGTGCCAGAAATCGTATACGGCAAACAAAATCTCCTTTTCTTCTGTGATGTATTTCTTTTTGCAGTTGGCTAAAGAATGTCTCGCCTTAAAAGGTCATTCATGTGTTGTAATAATATCTGAGAGGTGCTGATGATTTCAGGTTCTGCCTATCAGGGTTTTTGTTTGTTTGTTTGGTTGGGTTTTGTTTTTTGTTTTTTTAAACCAGGTTTGATGCCTGTGATTCTCTTGCCCCTTTCTGACTGGAGCCTGACTGGGTTCGGCAGCAGGCACCGGGCTCCTACCCTGTGCCGGGCACCGCTGGAAGCCGTGCTGTGCCGGCTGGGGAAGCGCTTATAGTTTGTAAAAGCCGGGTCATGGGGATTGGACAGACTCTCAGTGAATTCGCCAGAGTAAACAGTTCTCAGGTTGCCCAGATTTCTCCTCGTGGACGACAAAGGCTGTCTTGATTTCCCAAAATGATTTTGGCCCCCTTGCCTAGCACCGTAACCCTCTCCATATCCTCTCTTTCAACTAACTCAGTTCAATGCACTTACGTTTGAATGAAATCTGTCTTACACCGTCCTTTCGGGTTCGTGAAATCAGCCTGTTCTTGATATATTCCCTCATTTATCCTCCCTCCCTCCTTAGATCTGTGTGTCTATTCGTATGGCGTGTGTCTTGGGAGTTTTGGGGTGAGTCTGTCTGTCTTTTCCCGTCTGACTATGGCTGTGGGGCTTGTATGTGTTTGTGTGCCTGGTTTAAGGTGTGTCTCACGTGGGCTGCAGTGGTGACAATGATCAGTGAGTGTCTAGTGGCCAGGGACAGGTTCCTGTATACTCTTTTTCCCCACCTGAATGGCCATCTAACGCCATTGCTGCTGGTGCCTGCTGTCTACTCAGGTCTCAATTCTTTGTGTTGACAGCAATGTGTAAAGGCAGGAAATACTGTCTTAAGAAAACGTGGGTGAGAATTTTAGTAGAAGCTGACTGACTGCTAAAGTATTGCATAATTGCATAAGGGATTTCATTTTCTTTTTAAGAAAAAAAAGTTTGAAACTAAGTTCTTTAATGTCAACAGCATCACCTAGAAACCCTCTGAAGAAGGGTCTGAAGAGGAAAGTTCTGGGTTGACACTGCACCCAGTGTTACTCAAACCCAACTCTGACGAACTAGATGTGGGAGCAGTAAACCT